CCCCCCCCGCCCTTTTTATTGGACAAAGGTGAAAGGACAAGTGTTTCTTCCCCTGGTTTGTTTCTCTGTGGATGAATCAAGCAAACATTTGCCTTTCTTTCATGCATGAAATCCTGGATTATGAATTACAACACAAACACACACAAAATATTTTATTCTAATTGCTTGTGTATTTAGAAAAATGAAATAAAAACATACTTTCTTGTCATCTCATATAAAGAGTGATATTAATAGTTTTATAGAAATCCAAAACCACCCATCTTCATTTTGGGACATGTTTGAAATCAGTGATAACTACATGTTGATAACTGCCATTAGGAATATTGTTTGACAGTTTGCTTCATTCTTTTGTAGTTCTGAAGAACTAAACATTTCCTTACCTCAGCTAAGAGCAAGACCACTGAATCCAACATGGGGATTACCCTCAACTACTGCGTGTTTTCATATCTCATTCATGTGCAGTGGAGACAATATCAAAGTTGAATCTTTTGTCATAAAACATGCATCACATCTCAGTATTTTTGTAACATTTTCTTGTGACATTTCTGTATTGTACATTGTCATTTTTAAGACTATTTATGACAATAAAGATGACTGACGAAGATCTTTGGGCTCAGGGAAAATAAATACATGTTAAAAAAAATTGCAGAATTGTGCCAAAATGTCATCTAAATACATTGATTGCAAACATAGTACATGACCTTTCATAAAATAAGAAACACAATTAGAAAACAGCAGCAAACATCAGTTTTAATGCTCAGCCAGAACATTAAAACACTAAAAATGTGTAATTTGTCATCTTATTTTATCTCATTTATCTTATTTCATCTTATTTTTAAATTTTAATGAAAGAGGTTATAAATATTTGTGGATTAACCATCACAGAAACACACAAAAATATTTTGATAACTAACAATACTGATCATTTTGGGCAGCTGCATGACTCTTACATTGAGTGGTGGTTTAATACATTTGTTGAGCACTGTTTATTGTGAAATGTAGTTGCTAGAAGATTAACAATATTATTAATTAGCATAAACTTGTACATTAACGGCACTTGAAGTTTCTCAGTCACACATTAAGCACTGTCCTAGACTAAATGAAACATTTAATGAATGAATCCCCTTAAAAAAAAGTATTTAGTGAGGGATTAGGCATAATCAATATCTGGGAAAATAAGCTACTGTTACGAAGCCACATGCAAATGTAATAGCGTTTGGTCATCAGAAGAGGTCAATGTTCCATTAAGTGCTCATCATCATGCCAATGTTGTTTCAAAAATGATTGCCTGTAATCTGTGGAGCATATGTCAAACCAATCTCAAATGATTGATATCAAGTCATCCACAGACAAGATTCCTGACACAAAGTAGAAGCTGCATGATTTTTATATCCAACTAAAAAGTGTCACAAAATACACATTTTACAGTTGTACTTTTAAGATTTTTGGTACACAAGTATGCACAGAAAGCTAATGAATAACTGCTATCTGCAGAATTCCCACTATGTAAATAAAAGGCATTTACAATAAATGAATCACTGCTCCCGAAGAGTGTCATCAAAATAGAATGTTTACATTTATATGTGTAACTTTTGCAACCATTTAAATTAAGGTTGTACTGTTTCTATCACCATCGCCGACAGTGTATGAATCAGAGATTGGAGTGATAAACCTTGGTAATGTACAGAACCTATGAAAAGGTTTCCTAAGACAACTAGCCAGGAAGAGCTCCAGTCTGGTCCAGTCTGACCTTTGCTATATTTCTTATCTGTATAAAGCAAGACTGGACTAGACTTTTGACATATATCTACCCTATACATACAATGTATCTCTGCAGATTAAGCTTGAGGATTAATGAGTACAGATTAGTCATTCATTTATGCCTGTTATACCAAGTAGCACTATCAAGCTAGCATGCCATGTGGTGTGGTCTTACCTACAGTATGAGTGGCTAATGCTAGCTATTAAAACTACAGCTAATAAGGTTTCCTTTGTCTTCTGGTGGCAAATTAGAGACACTGCCTGGCTGCTTATGGGCTAACCATTTAGGGGAAAGACCCATGTCTCCTCTTCCTTATATATATAATGGCCAAAAACAAAAACACACCTGCTAAATAAACCGACAGACTAATAAAACGCTAAAATTTCACTCACCAAAACTGAAACAGAAACTTCTTAGATGAGCTATACCTTACTGCAACTCTCCTCTATAAGACAGTTCAATTAAAAATGCTCCAAAAAGCACCAGCAGGACAAAAAGTGAAGCGTTCCAGTTTGCACTCCACATAGCAGAGGTGAGGTCTAGCAGACTATGGAGACAATTGAGTCCCCCACATTTTGTGTCCAAATAAATTGGGTTAAAATAAGTAAATAATCATCTCCTTCAGAGTTGTTATGAACAGGGAAACTACTAATAGAGCCCCATAATAGATGGCCGTTTGTGTCTTTCAGAGCAATTTTATAATAAATATAAAATTGGTAAAATCAAAAATGTCTATGACGAAAAATGGATTATACAAATGAACTGCAACACCAGGGTTTCATGTGCTGTCAGTGACTCATGATAATATTATAAGCTTTGGCTATGATTGTGATAGCATGTAAGATGATTAGAGGCCAAAGCTGAGATTATATCAGCTAAGGCCAATGACCTAATTTAGGGCTGGGCAAATAAACACACGATAGACACAAAAATGGACCTTTGCTAGAATTTTCTGAAGAGCTCTTACATTACACTACATTATTTTTAAACTCCCAAACTCAGATATAATATTTTAATTGGAGATAAATGGTTTTCATTCCAGATTGTGATAAAGAGCTCAAAGAAGACAGGAAAGAGTTGATAAACAGCAGAGGATCTATGCTATTTGTCATAAATTACCTATTTGTCTAATGTGCAAATTTAATGTGCTTGTAAAAAAAGCTGCTACTAAATATTTAATATATGTGGCAGACTGTGGCTTGACTTTTGACCTTTTGTGAGTGGCTATTGTTTTGGAAATCTCTGTAATGAACCCAAAAGAGTTTCATCATTTTTTTTAGTCTGTTGCAGCGCTGCGCGCCTGCAGTAGAGTTCCTCCCATGGTTGTCATGGCAGTCCCTGGTTAAAGACACTAGTAGCACACAGAGCTGCCTTACAATTTTGGCTTTAGGCATCTTCACTTTGCAATTCGTTTACTTGAAAAACTGGGTCAGTGGTAGCACATTAAAACTAGGTTTGTCCCCCTGGCTTTGTACCGATGTAACACGTTCACTTTCTTCCTACAGTGGTATCACAAAAGCAAATGCGCAAAGACAGCCACATACAGTAATGTAATTAAGTCTGGTACAAACCAAGGATGTGGTCATATTAGTTCATTTACTTAGTAGTTGGTAATTCTTTTCTTTTCATTTTAAAAAGATTTTAAGAGGACTTAAAGGAAGAGTTACCTATTGTAATAAGTCTAATATGTACTCTGCAGGAGGAGTGCAATTGGTGTCGTGCCAATCACTTACATTAAAAGAACGAAAAGGCCACAGTGGAACGATAGGACTCGTCCTCACATGAAAGAGAAACACCACTTAGAGATGGGGACCTTTTCTCATTCTGCAGTTTGCTGTATCAGCAGTTTGGGATGGCAGCACAGCTGAATGGCGTTGCAAGGACCCAGTCAAGCATCACACCGCTGACAGAGGGGAAAAAAGATATAATGATAATAGATAAAATGTTGCCCATACTGAGATTTAATGTCCTTGTTTTTCTTTGATCAATACATGTCAGGTCACACTGATCCCTCTGCAAGTTCACTAAGCACACTGACAGCAATTGCAGTTGGACATCTTAGTTGGACAGCTTAGAGCTCTGTAGTAAAAATGGATACTTTATGGTTGCAGCAATCTGCAGGGTGATTAAAAGGCTTTTTTTCTTTGTTTGTTTTCTCTTTTTCTTTTCATTATCGTCCTATTAGAGAAATGTACAGTTTCAAATGAAGTGTCCCAAACAAACAGTTGATTAATCAGCTTCACTGGCCATAAATGAATAAATCAAAAATGTAATTATTCCCACAAAAGCTTCAAACATGCCTGGGTTTCAGATCCTCTATATAGGTCTACTGATATTTTACACACCAACGATTGACTGAGAAATTCAATAAATCATTTGGAGATTAATTAGAGACTCAAAAATGTTACAGAATACCGAATGTTAAATGAAGCCGTTTGTAAGTTCCCAGCATAAGTTGATCTCTTGTCTGATGAACTCCCCGAGATCCAGCCTCAATTTGCAATATATCACATAAAAAACTGGAAACTCTGTTCACTGTTCACTGTAATCAGCAGCTATCTAGATGAGTGATAAAGAGTTTTGATTACTCAAAATTCTAATACTTGCTCCACTTTATATACAGCAGGTAAATGCTCTGATGTTTACACATCCACCTGAATATGTCAGTAACTTTCTGTGACAGATCTGTAGCTTTTGCTCTGACTTTACGAGCTTCTTATGGGCGCCATTACATTACCTCACCCTAACTGAAAATAAAGCGGTTAAGTATTGTTTGCCTCACACGTAGTACATCTCCACCCTAACAAGAGTTTGACCTTCTAGTGTGAAGTACCCTGCCCTATCCTGAATCTTAACTCTCTCCTGCTTTCGGGAGATTTTTAAACTTCCTTTTTGGGTCTGTCTGGCTCACCAGATGTTTCCTGAACCCACCGTGTCCTTAACTCACTCCCTCCCTGCCCGGGTGCTGAAAAGCACCAGAAGGACGGAGAGGAGAACTCTGTCATTCACTCTCAGTACAGCCAACCACACAGAGCGATACCTGGAGTTCAACTGATGCGCCTGTAGACTTGACTGAGGTGTACAGCAACTGGAATCTACTCAGGCTGTGATGACAGAAACTCACAACTCGTACATATAGCCTACACTCATTCTTGAGCTGCTCACCTCTGTTAGGCATTTTTTACGAGTTGTGTAAGCCCATGTTCAGGACTTCTGCTGTTGTTCCTGGTGGAAAGCCAGCAGCCAGTAATCAGTCGGCAATGTCGTGGGACTGTGGCCTCAGATACATGTTCTCTGTGTCCCCTGGGCTGCAGCACAGGAACAAGAGCATCCTGCATGACAAGGAGGACCTGTCCAGACTGGAGATGGTCCAGAGACTGGCCAAGGATGGCTGTCGCTTTCTGCAAAACCACAGCAAGAGCCCAGAAAGGACAAGTGAGGTGAGATACATGACACATCGGCAGACAGAGCAGATATTTCTACAACTTTTGTTTGTTGCAGCATGTAAATGTATTGAAACGAAAACACAGCTTTAGTTCAACATATTTGATGCTCCACTTTATTTAATTATAAATCCGACTCTGTTAGCAAGCTTTCCCCATGAGTGAAAGCAAGTGGAGTCTGCATCCTTAGTTACATTCACTCAGGATTATACTGCAGTGTTTTATGCAAGCATTGCAGTCTGTGTAGCATCCCATTAATCAAACTGAAGTGAATTTGCAGTCTTGTTTTTTTTTAATCGGTCTCCTTACGTTCTATAGTGTCTCCACCTTATCTAAAGATTAGTGTTGCCACTTAAATTATGTGCAGATTGCAAGAAGTGTCTCATTAAATATGAGAAAAAAGACCATTTTAGACGCAAGAATAGATGTCAAAATAGATTGTATCTATAAGATGAATCACTATGCCTGTGTTTACAACCCCAGTTCTCAAAAAGTTGGGATGCTGTTCAAAACGTGGGTAAAAAGAAATTCAAATACAACAAGAAGTGTTGTATGTGCACGTCAGCCTCCACACTTTTAAAACTATTACATCACCTGTATAGGAGCAATCTGATTGGCTAGCTTTATGGTGGGTTCAGCTTCTCTCTTCCTGCCAGCTGTGTCTGTGCGTTGACCTGCTGAACAATTGCAGGAAGAAATGACGCAAGTCATCATGCCAAGACATTGTATGTTTTCAGGGTGGATTCCCGAGCGTCATGACCTTTTCTCCACCATGAGGCAAGCTCTCCTTATCACCGTGCACTTTCAGTAACAGCCTGTCGCCTGCAGCTGCTGCCAGTCTGTGGATGATCAAATGTTAGAGCTACATAACAACAGTGTTTTACGTTTGTTTCTTTAGTGACATACTGAGCACAGTACTGAGCCACCATTCATTTCTTTATATTTGTTTCCAAGGATCAAGACTTTTTAGTAATTTTTAAAAGTGGTCTTGAGCAATAGTTTCTCAGGCTTTCTTTGGACATTGGTTGTTTTCTCACTCATTTTCATTTTTCAGTCCAGTCCCTGTTCCTGATCATTTTTAGAAGGAACAATCCCTAACACTGACCTATAAATTATAAATAAATAAATAAAGAACTCAAGGAATGAATCAGTGCTTGTGTCTCAACAGAAACTTACCACAGAAGCAATTTTAAATTAATGAAAATTTATTCCTGAATTCAGGAATAGAACCACACCTAATGCAGTTCCCTTCTGGGCCTATATCTATATATGCCCTCCTGCAATACAAGCTGTTGGTTCTCATTGGGGGATCTTAGCAAACCTGATGGAATTATGAAAATGAGTACAGTCAGATTTTGATCCACCACCTGGAAATGTCTGATTGGCAATGGCTTCATTTTTCAGCTTGGCAATGATTTGCACAATATTGTACATATGCAAAGTTTGTCAAATTATGACTGTAAAAAAGGCTGAGTATATATGTCTGTGTGTCATTTATAATGCCAGAAATAATAGCCAGGTATGGTAAAGTACACTTAACACTACACCGGAAAAAAAAAAACAAATCCTAAAAAAACAGTAATATTCCAGCAGCTGGGGCGCCAAAATAATACCATAAAATAACAGAAAATAATTTTCCCATTATTTTCAGTAATGACAATACAGTTTGTTGCCCTTATTTTACATCGGATTTTGCCTTTTTCAAGTGCTTTTAAACATTAAATTAGGAACAATTTAACGTGATTAAACAATGAAATTACCTATAAAAAAGGTCAATGAATGTGGCAATATGAATAATAATACTTAAATGTACAGAAATGTACAGTTAACAGTTCGTTTAAATAACAATGGATCGCATTCATATAGTACTTTACAATTCCACTTTATAATTCCCCTCTGGCCATCACCAGTAGGTGAAGCGTCTTGTCCAAGGGCACAATGACCGAGAGTGTCTGAGCCGGGGCTCGAACCAGCAACCTTCTGATTACAAGGCGAACTGCCAACTCTTGAGCCACGATCACCCTAAATAACAACAATAATAGTAATTATTTGATGTAAAAAAAAGTTTATACGAATCATTTTATATATTTTTCCATAGCATTACATTTGAATTTAACAGTTCAGTCTTTCAAATAACGGACAAATATTTGTGAAATTATGATACATTTGTGAATGTATTTTAACAATCTAAATATGCATATGTACAGACAGATACATTTAAAAAACAAGAAAATTATGTTTTATTACATTTACAGTGATTTTACGTTAATTTACATTTGAAATGTAAAATCAGTCTATTTATGTGAATTTAATGATATTCTAGAAGAACAGTACAAAACTATAAAATACACATTAAAATACTTTTATATCACGATTTATTTTTACAGTGTAGAATACACAGTACATTTAACACTTGACATTTTCTGGAAATATTAACATTATGTGAGATGATTCTCTAGTGTTCCTCATCTTATAAGTAATCTAATGATGCTGCTAGTGCTGTAAAACGTGACTCATACAGATATCTAAACACAGACATCAAAGTGTTTAGGAATCAGTTAAATCCCAGCTGGTGGGAAAAGGGGTGCTTAATATACAGAGTGCTGCATGTCAGAGTCTCTGATGCAGAAAGACTGTGAATGTTAGGCACTCTGTTTTAACCTAAAACATATTGCGTTATAGTTTATAGCCACTCATCATATTTTGCTTTAAATGAGACAATAAAAGAAGTCCATGCTTTATTACAGCTAAAAAAAATAGTGATTGAGACTAAAGATTACTCAAGACGATGTTTACTGAGATCATACCTCAAGTCAACAGGAGTTCTGTACAATTTGACTTCTCTTTGCAACCAGAGGTTTTTCAAATGCAATGTTTAACACTAGGTTCTGCATTTATTTGCTTTTCGGATCCCGAGGTTACAGATCTTTTACAGTTTTCTATCTTTTATAGCCTCTTTAATTTCAGTTTATGGGGAACAGATAGCAACACATTCTCATCTTTTCTGTTGAACACATTTTGTCTTACTCTTATTACCTTGATGTTACATAATGTGCACCTCCCTTGCTCACTGTTTATTTTTCAAACCTCACACATGAAATATGAATGACATCAAGCTTCTGTTAGAGATGATGTTTATTTGAAAACAGCACTCGTATATGGATCCCGTCTTCTTCTTCCCATCCTGTGTAATCCACACTGGTGCTTGGGAGGAATTAAGACAAAGCAGCACTTTGTCATGACTGAGACCTTCCAGGGCACTTTAAGTGTTTCATACCATGCATGTCAGATGCACACAGACATACATAAAACACATCTCTCTAGCCAGCAGAATAGATCTGGAGCCATAGATGGGACAGTGAAGCTCTTAGGGGGACGTGACTTTGTGCAGAGGCCTGAAAATTATTTTTGCTTTTCTGCTGATGGCGTCCATGTTTGAAAGGCTTCAGTAACTTTGAGCAAGGTCAGATCAAGGCTAGGTTTGAAACTGAGTGGCCCGGTGCCCTGCTGTCTCCTTACAATGATCCACTCTAGACGCCTGGTTGTTTTTTGTATAGGAACACTGGTAACCACAAAGCACAGTGCACACTAAGCAGTAGTCTGAAGCAGCCAAGAAACAATCAATAATTAATTGTGAAGAGTCTTATTTGCTGTTTGACCCATTAGCCATACACTGAGATATTATGTTAATTATAGTCAAGAATCAACTGTGCTGTACTGCCAGGCTTGGTGAGACAAAAAAGTGTGCTTTTTTTTTAACTTTAAAGGAATTTAACAGACACAGTATGCCACATGTTGATAAAGCTAGAACCACAGGAAGAAAGGAACAGCTTCGCTTCAATGGGATTTTTTTCTTCATTCCATTTTTGTCATCCTCCATGCCCCTTAGTCCAGTAGTAAGACAATTAAGTCTCGATGCTTCTTCAGCAACGTAGAAACTGCTTGAGAGCACCTTTCTATGTAATATTGGAAAACGTAATTGCTACTGCAGTTTTAACAGATATCTAAAGTTTTCTTCAGTCAGTCAGACAACACAGGACTGGAAAAGTACCACCAATCTAAACTACTGTAGTGGGATAATGCAATAATAATGATGAAAGACACACTATGTTTGTGTGTCTTTGTTTTGTTATATTTTGTATCTAAATGCATATATTTGCATATGTATCGTGCATCTATAGTGTGTCTTTATGTCCACGGATCCCTTGACAAGCGTTAATAGTGCCAGGAAGCCATGCTTAACTGAACGACCCTGAATGCTTCTCTGGCAAAAGGCAATTAGGGCCACAAACTGCAACCATTTCCAGCATGTCTACCCAGCTAATTGCATGAACAGAGGCTTGTGTTGCAGTGACTGATGGCTGAGAAGGGGAGGATGGGTGAAAAGTGAGGGGAGGGGGCCTAATTCAGGATGCATGCGTATGCAACATACAGTGAAGATCTCATTAAGACCAATATCACTGATCCAGGCTACTCCATTGTCAAGCAGCTGTCAGCCATCTTTATACTTCAGAGACACTCTAGTAATCATTTTTGGTTTAAGATGTCGACTTTAGTTAAGTTAGATTTTAGATACTTTAAGAGAATGTCTAGGCTGTCCAGTATGCCCAGCAATAGAAACAGAGATATTGCCCTATACATGTGAAAGCATGAATAAAATAAATAAAATAAAAAAAATACTTGTTTTGTTTGTTGACAAAAAGGAGATGAATTTATCATTGCTTGTATGTCGTGGTGGTAATAGGACAAGTACCTGGCAAGGGAATCGGGGGTCTATGCTAAACTCCAAACCACGAAACCTTTGTTACTATGCAAAGTTGAACCATGTGACAGCTTGAAAATAGACTGCCTTCAGTCGCCAACCGTGATTTAATAGGCGCTACACATAAATCAATAATTAAAATAGTCTTTTATGTTAATCCCTGAATGGGCTCCAGTGATAAGGGCTGAATAATGATATATGGAAATTCTCTTTCACTTACAGTGCAGTATTATGATGGAGATCAGTGGTGATTTGTGCGAGTGGGAGAAAATACAGGGGAATCTCCTTGGTGATAACACACTCCCTCCCGCCCTCCCTCCCTCCCTCCTGCTTTTCTCTCCCCAGCCCCAGAGTGACGAGGCAGTCCGCTTGTGTCTGAGAGAGAGGGGCCACGATGTGCTCGTTCTCCAAAGATTGTCGTCAGAGCAGCTCTCTGCATCAGCGAGGGGAGGAGGGAGAGAGGAGGCGAGAAACAGGAGGTAAGCCTCTCCACTCCCCTCCCCTCCTAGATTCCCTCCCTCTCTCACTATATGTTTCGCTCCCTCAGCGCTCTCCCTATAATCACTCTCCTTCTCCCCCTCTGCGGATCACACACTCACTCACTCAGGCATGCTTACATCACAGTTCCGTGCACATAAATGACTACATTAAATACATACAAGTAGGCAGCATGGGACTGTGAGGCACAGCTGCGCTGTCAGCCTTCCCATTCAAGTAACTGGAGAGGGGTTTTTTTGTAGTTGCGAGCATACTGGGATACCTCTGTGGACTACGGGCTCTAGCAGGTGCAGGTGGATAGAGGGATGGGTAAAGGGGTCATGCAGCAGTAACCACGGCAACATTGCCGGCATAAGGGCAAGGGGACTCTGCTAGGATGGGATCTCGGCCACAGCCCCCGAACCAGCAGCAGGAGGAGGTAAGGCTGCTACACGCTGCCTTGGTGGAGCAGGAGGAGGACGAGGAGGATGAGGAGGGCTCGGAAAAGAGCAGCAGTGACAGCACCAGCCGGGCAGAGCCGGTGACAATGCCCACGTTTGATGTCCCTTACTTTCGCTACATAGATGATGAGGGCACAGAGGGAGAGGAGGAATGGAGCAGCAGCCGGTCTCTCTCTTCTTTTGAGGAGGACTCGTCCAATGACTCTGTTGTGTCTGACAGGTACATGGTAGTGTCAGGGACTCCCGAGAAGATCCTGGAGCACTTGCTGAATGACCTAACGCTGGACGAGGACCGAGGGATAACACAGGGCAAAGAGTCAGGTCAGCATACTGCTTTCATATCATTTCACCCTCTTTTGGCTTTACCTGTGTCTGACATAAAGCGTTTCTTTGATATTAGAAAGCAAAAACACAAAGTCTTTTTTACCTTTATGTAGAAGTCACATATGTATCTTTATGTGACTGAGAAGAAAAAGAGTAAATGAGCTACCTTCACTTTCTGTTTTACTTTCTGCCCTCCCCACCCTTTCTCTTACCGATAAAGCTGGGACAGCTTCCCCCTCTGGGCATTATTACTGGGTTAATCATGTGCTGTGATTGCCGAAATGATGTTAAGTTTAAGCGCATTCATTTAAAAGCCATGACAGAGATAAATGTCTCTCATATCTTTTCAGTGAGGCTGTAAATGGTCTGCACGACATGCAGTCCAGCCTCACAGCAATAAAAAAATCAACACATTTCCTCTCATCCAAGCAGGTACTTGATAATTTGGCTCTGTTGCCAAGGCAGAGGAGACCCTCTGTTTCTGAAGCTGAAAAGATAACTGGATGAGGAATGACAATTGAGAGCTGTGAGGCAAGGAGACGAAAGATTGATGAAAAGAGCGGGGAAGAGGAAAGAAAGTGGGCATAAGGAGATTAGGAGAGGAGCTGCAGTTTTCTTGGGATATGGAGGTGGTAACAGATGATCTCTCATTGGGATGGAGGCATGACTAACTGGAGATCAAATGTCTTATCAGGGATGCAATAGAGTTATAGACTATGTTGAGTGTCGTATTTTTATCGCTTTATTAGAATATTTTATTCTGGTATGAAGTTAAACATAAAGTCAGCCACTAAGACAAATAGTTTAGCCATTCTATTCTTTGTTCATTTAGAGTATAATAAATCCATCGGCCCAGAAGGGCTTTGTGTTGTTTATGCATCGTTCACCATTAGTACAACTTGCAGTGATTGTATAGAAGTTAATGCTCCATAGGGAGCTATGAAGCAGAGCATGATGCTGAGTGGTATCCCAGGGTCAAAGAGCCAGAGACCTCAGGAGGAGGTCTCTGGCTTTGAGTCCTGAGCAGCAATTGATCTGCACTCAGTGATGTTTAATAATCTGACTGCTGCTGGCTCCTTGTCGTTCTGTGCTACTGCTGAGGATCATCTCATAGAATCAGATTTCCAATTTTTCTCCAAACAAGATTTATTCCAACATTCAACGAGCTGCTGCGTTTTGGTTCGTCTCTCTTGGATGGCTCAGATAAGCTGATGATTTTACATACAGTACATCGCATTAGAAAGCCATTTTTATTTCATTATGGTAGCACTCACGTCCATGTTTAAACAACATTAGGAATGCAAAGCTTTCTGTCTTCTTTTGCGAGAGATGGCACTTTTCTGAAACCACCGCAGGCATGTTTGAGGGAAAGCAAGTGTGAACCACTGCAGCAATCAGTGGATGTCTGATGTGCAAGTGTTTCCTTAGCACTGTGATTAGCATTCACAAGTATTCAGCATTGCCTTCTTTCCTGTACCCAATCCCTGAGTGCAGCTATTGATTCTTGCTCTGCACAGATCATACTGCTCGCTGGTAGCATTGAAAATCATGCAACAGAACATTTGTGCCCTTAATGAGAGGATGTCCTATCTCTTTTGTCAATGCACCATGTGGAGAGATGTTTATTTGTACTAAAAGCTTTCTAAATGCTAAACTAATGCCTTCTGGTGGTTACCAAGCTTGCAAGTGACACATTAACATGCAAATTTCAAAGACTGCATTGATCAGCTTTGTTGAAATGCAAAAGAGACGTGCAGATTGATTGACAAGCCTATTGATGACACTGACAAGGTAGTTTAGTGAATCAATTATGTAATTCTGCTAAAAGGAAGACAAAATTTGTTTTGGTTTGTGTGTCTGAAAGCAACATGATACATGGTAGTACACGTCAACTACAAGTTCTAACTGTGAAATATTAAAAACTGACTGACTTTTATGACTGACTGGAGCCAGAAAACGACCCAACCGCTTGCTAAACTTCATTCAAACGGCAGAATTCACACACAATGTCTTTCCCTTTATGAAGCAAATACATCTTCTGCTAACTTGTTTGGGTTAAATCTTGATCCCGCAGGTGAGCCGCTTTGTTTTTTTCCCTCTATTCCAATTGAAAACTGCAGACCTCTAGGTCTGTTTTCCAACTTCAAAAAAGAAACCGTCAGACTGTACAGTCTGGGGAGCAGCATGTGAGCTTTTACTCATGAGAAAGCGTTTCAGTTTCAGCTTAGCTCTGAAAAAATACAGCAGTAGGCAGCAGTGTGAGTGAGTAGTATGCAGTCAGTCAGTGTGCGTGTGTGTGTGTGCAAGTAGATACAGTACATGTGGGTGGGTTGTGATATCTCTCCTGTCGTTTTCTGGTTTTGTGTTAAGGTGTGTTTTTATAGAAGATGTGCATATGTAACCGCTCATGAGCAGTGAGTGATGTGTCCACAGCTGCTCTGCTTGGATTAACATAATGATGTCAGGGAGTCCTGTGGACCAGAACGTACACAAAGACGTTGGGAAGCCAGTGTGAAATTAAAAAGAAGAATTTACAATTCTGGGTGTGAGGCACACTTACAGAGGGGTTGGAAGGCGGTTGGCTCTAATAGGATTTGTAAAGCTTTTTGGTTGTGGCTGGGCATTATGTCTAAGAGTTAGTGTCCTTTTCTTTCACATTATGCCTTAGACAATTTTTTTTCTTTTGCGTGTATCTTTTTATGACAGTTTTGGTTAGTGGTTCCTGAGGATATTCAGATGAATCGCTGGCCACAATTTGGGAGAGATTCATCTGTGATCATTAAAGAAATCCCATTAAGCAAAATCAGCTGTCTTTCTTGAAAATGCAACTGCAGGTACGCAAATGCAGAGCGTGCATCCATTTTGTGTCATCTATTTACAGGAACACTTTTTCATTTTAAACCTTGGTAAGAGGTTGTAGAAGGGTACCGTGGCAGAAAGTACTGCTTGTAAACACAATTGCATGATTGCACAGCAGAAACATCAAATTTCCTGTCTGTGAGCGAGAAAATAACAATGAAAATATTGACTTCATTACAGGTCAGAGAGAGTCACCTGACACATTAACATTATTGGCTTATCTTTACTGATACAGCCTGCAGTAGCAAATGTGTGAGACTGCAGATAATGCAAGTAAAAAATGGTGTGCAAGAAAAGGCCGCTAGCATATTGTTTGCCTCTTCTGAGCTCTTCTTCTCACATTATTAAAGTGGAAAACGGAAGCCATCGCAATTAGTGAAGCTCTCCTGTACGTAGCGCTCAGCTGACATTAATCATACAGTTGTCAAGGTCACTTGAGTGCATGCCCTCCAGCATCTTGTAGCACTGAATGAAGCTCATAAGGCTATATCCATAAAGCCCCTTCCAAGCATGCACTCCTTTCCATTAATCTAACAGTATCTGAGTGTGTCAGCTTCGTGCTTAATTGAGGAATTCTGCTCATTTTTTTGGTAAAGGTCACACTCCTACAAGGCAAAAGTGGACCGTGTCTGGGTGGCAGAATATCACTGATTTAGCAGTGAGAAGGCCGTGTATCTCATGTCTGAAATATGCGTCCGTGGCTTATGACTGATGTAATGGGATGTGTAAAGTCTTTTTTGCTTTTTCTGAAGTTATAGTTTCCATGAAATGATCTTTATTTCTCTTTACAGACACACTTCTAGATGACTTCCTGCTAACCTACCCAGTATTCATGTCTACAAGTGATTTATGCCAAGCTCTACTGGGACAATATCCTTGAACACATAGGCTTTTATAGGATCCTGAATTAGATGTTTTATTCAAAAACAAAGTATGTTTTACCTTCTTAAAGCTGTTCCACTTCACTCATCTTATTCATATAGCTGACTCTCTTGGCCCCTTTACTAAATCGATATCATGCACCATGCTTCGCTGTGCTGTGCATTTGACGTCAGACATGAAAAATAATCTCCCTTCCTTAACCGAGTCCCACCTATTGCACCAAGCGACACAGAGGGAAAGAGGATCGGAAGGAGGCTCTGGAGAGGAAGCAGAAACTCCTGCACCTGGTGTCGCAGTGGATGTTGCTCTGCAAAGACTTCCTGAGAGAAGACGAGCATGTCAAGCTCTTCATGAAGGTAGGACACACTGTGCAAACGGAAAAGGGTGGAAACTGGGTGGGAGGTGAACTTTGTATGGGAGAAATGAAAATTGACATTTCCTTCCAGACTCTTTATCGTTGTGTGCTGGATGATCTTTATGAGCACCCGGCCCTGGAGAGGGATGTGGGGGAGCTGCAGAAACTCTACCACCTGCATCGCAGACAGTGAGTTCATATATTTGTTCCTCATTTGGTGGAAACAGAAAGAGAACTATAGTTTAATACAGACATACTTTCAAATTCTATTAAATGGAAACGAACCTCATCAGGCCTGGGTGTGGAAAATTTCTAGTAAGATCTGTGACTGCTGAAGGATTCAAACTGGAACACACACTGTTCTTTGAATACGAAGAAAGGGCTTCTTCTCCCCTTGGTGTCTTTCTTTAGATGCTTATCAATGAATCCATTCAGAAACTGAAAAGTAATTGCAGTGTTCTGGGTTGGTATGCATATGAATGGCACAGAAGTCTTCATCTCAAATGTCCAGAACTGAGGATGTATAAGAGGTTTGAGAAATAAGAAGCCACAAATGTTTTCCGCGAGAAAAAGAAAAAAGCTCGAAGAGCACGCACGTACTTTTTGTCCCACCACTTGTTTACAAGACTCTATTTCTAGCCAGCTGACTGTGATTGGGCCAAACACATGAGAATAATTGCAAACACAGTGATACGCATCAGTATGGTTTCAGATTTGTTGAGTCATAAAATCATTATGCAATATTCAGAACACAATATACAGTATCAGTCCAATCAAATGAATATTCACAGTGCTGTGGAAGCTACGAAGCACAGATACCAATAAATAAATATAAGTATATATAAAAGAATATGAAATCATGTAAAACCTTTTATAATTGCAGACTAAGGCATTATGAATAACCCAGTATTTACTCTCCATTAAATAAAACATGCTTGATCTGCTAAATGTATACATAGATTCAATCAAAGATGAATTTCAACAGTTTTGTTGCTCTGAAACTGGAATCTGTGAGTAGCTTTAGTGTTTTCGTTGATAAAAATAAACATCATGTTGCTTTTGATGGTACAACCCTGAGTCACAAGACACATTGCCACACCCATGCGCCCCTTGCCCTTCGTCAGCCTCCAGTCACATCTTTTCCCCTGAGGCTGCTCTTGCCTGATGCCCATTAAAACCAGTGGAGATGATTCAACCCGAGCCTCCTACAGTTATCTGACCGCGTCTCATTCCCGTTTATATGCACGGAGGGAAATCCACAACACCCACTCTTATAAAGCAGCCAATTTTGCGTGGGTGTTACCGGCTGACATACTCTTCTATTTAGGAGCTTTTCACAATCAGTCCCACCCTAGGGGAGGACAAGGTTGACTGCCGTGTGGAAATCTGCTGCAGAGTGAAAAAAGTGTCATTCTTTTCATAGAAAGAAGCTTCCCATCAACTTCCATCTGGCCTTTGTGCAAAGGGAAGGTTAAGCTGGGGGAAAAAGACGGTTTGTTTTCTTGCACTCTCCAATCATGTGCTATTATAATTCACCGAGCTAATCGACTTCTTTGGTGATTCGGCTTTTTGAGGAGTAAAAGAGCTAGTTAGATCACAAGCGGTGCTTTGACATGGCAGGGGGAGTCAGGTTTTTCATTAGTGCACAGTCGTTGCTGGCCTATGAGAGGAGATCCCTGCGGGCAGGCTTTGTGCCAACATGCCTTTTGTGATGCAGAGCCCAGGAAAAGCTGAGGGATGATAATAGACACGGGGCTATCCATCAAACCAGGACTAACCCATGGGAATAGGGTGATTAAATGAAAGTATCACACTGGAAGATCTAAAATCTACCAAGCACTCTAATCTGTCCTTGACACCAAGCTTAAATAATGGACTCAACACAGCAGAGGAGTATACATGGATTCCTTTTACCTTGATTATATAAACTGCATGGGTCATTACGTTGTTGTACTACGGACACTACCTGCGGTCCACGGATCATCATCATCATCATCAGTTTTTAAGACAAAGTACAACGATTGTTTTTGTAAATGTTTAATTACACTGTGGTGCACTTTAGTGATTTGTTTCTTCTTCTCCTTTTTTCAGTACTGTGGAATATTCCCCTCAAAGAAAGGTAAGTGAACAACGCTAAGAAATAAAAGATTTTATACAACATGAGCTGGCTTTCCCAATTGACGTTTCGGGTGTCGGGGTTATTGTAGTCACATTTCCTCCTAAGAACATTGTTCCGTTGTTCCACCGAAATGCATGATGTTCTCAGGCAGTAAGAGCGTGTCTCAAAATCCACGCATTTCCTCTCTTTCAGAGCAAAGCACTTTTCCACCAATTGAGTCTGAAAGAGAACGGGCTCCAGTCCAGGGCAACACAGAGGGAGACCAAGGATGGTAAGTCGTAAAAAAAAAAAAAAAGCTTCATTCTTCACACATTCCTCCCGCCATACGTTGTTTCCAAAGTAAGGAAAAAGGAGACTTTTAGTCTGAACTGTACAACAATGGGAATCTTTCCAGGGATTGAATGAGATATTTAGGAGTGCAAATATCTGACTTATGACATATAATAGCCTAATAAGATTAAATGTTTATAGCACCTCTCAAAAGCACAGTTAAAAGGTGATTTGTAATGAAAACATGTATTAAAAGGAGACAGACAGTAAGGGGGAAAAAGTTTTTAGATTATATTCCTTTTAAAGAGCTAGTTCATTCAAATAAGCCTCCAGTTGTGGTCACGTCACCCCCTTACTTTAGTGTTCCCGGCCAAAATTGGTCTGTTTTAACAGCTCTTAAATTAGCATAACAAACATTTTTCATCACCAAATTCAGTTCAGTGGGCCATTCAGTGGGTCGTAAAGTGGGTCTTTCATTTGGTCATTCAGTTGGCCAAAATACACCGAAGCAGATGATTTGAATTTCTTAGTCTGTGTCCAGAATGTGCAAACTTGGTCAGTGGGCAGCTTCCCAAGACCCACCTAATGGGACCAGAAGATCCCAGGTCAATGGATCTCTGCTGCGCCTAATAGAGGCATGGATTTCATGTTAACCTCCTATATGGGCAGTGGGCTGCACTTTTTAACAGATCTTACAACTTAATGAAATTATTTTTTTCCCTTTGCCAGTGCTGTGTCATGTGTATATAACCATGGACTCATACCTAAGTATGAGGGTCCAGTCCGGGGTGGTGGCACAGGAGCTGGTGCAGGCAGTGGCAGAAAGGATGGATGTCTCCCAGGAGGAGCTGGTACTTGTGGGTGTCACTTATCCTGGAGGTAAATAGTATTTTCTCTAACTGGTTGGAGAACATTGCATAGCAATAATGACAATACTTTCAATGTTGAAACTTACAACTTAACACTGTAGCACTACAGTTGAATATTAGAGTAATCCAGAACTAGCTATGAGACTACTTACTCTAAATGCAAATGTGTGACAAATTAAAGGAAAATGCTACACAAGTGTTTGAGTGAGGTGCTGGGCTACTAGAACAAGTCTCTGTTCTCTTTTGTGTTTTATGTTTAACGCATTGGTCCAAATTCTGTCATATGAGTTTAAGCACTATGACGGCTACAGTCATTTTCATATTCTTCAACACCATTGAGTCCGTCTGTTTCCCTATCAAAGAGAGCACTCATATCAGGATATGGTGATCTCTCAGAACAACTGTGTATTGATTTTAGTGATCATTTCCTCTTAGGAGACAAGTAAATCCAACCAAAAAAATTCTCATTTATAGTTTTTTTTTCTAACATTTTGTCATATTTGATGTTTCTTTCTATATTCATTTTGATACTGAGCCCAGAAAGGTATGTGAGAGATTGCAATCAACATAATTGACTTCGATGTCTCCCAGGGAGTCAAGTAATATGGAGTCAGCATCTGTTATCAGTCACTAAAGTGTCAGGCTACCTCAAAGTGGAGCTTGGCACACAGAGTCTTATCTGTAACCAGTGATAGCTGCGTACATGCTGCCAGACAGATTTCTAATGGTATTCTGCTGTTTATGCTCTTTTCTCCCCTGCAGGCAGACTCCTCCTGCAGCCTCAGGACCGAGTTTTCTCCAGTTCTTTACGGTCAGTGGGGAGGCTGCATGCGTGCAGGAAGGACCTTGGTGAAGTCCTGGTAGGAATAATATTTTTATGTTTAACTTTAACTTTAAACATGCATTTTCTTGAGAGTAGAAAAAAATGCATTTTTATATATGATACCTAAAAACCCGCAAAGAGACTGTTAATTTTTAGTATTTAAATTGAGGCAAAACTAATTCTTATTCAGTGTCTGTCTAAATGTTTATGTCGGTGTTCAGGGCATTGTGGTTTTAAAGGAAAATCTGAACCTATTTTGCTTGTTTTTCTTTGCAGAACCCTTTAACAGATAACTCAGAGCTGCAGCAGAGGACAGCTCACATGCTGAGTTTGAACACCTGGGATGTCGCTGTTGCACTCACTGATTTTGACTGGGCAATTTTTGATGCAGTGCACGAGGTTTGTCTCACAACTTGAACTTGTAAAAATTCTTCTCTTCATACTGAATCCTTCAAAGATGTTAATGTTCAGTAAATGTTCTTTTTTTTTTTTTTTACAGCAAGAGCTGGTCTATTTCACCTTCAACCGCCACACCGGCAGCAACCACACGACAGCTTTAGAATTCCTGCTGCAGCGATGCAATGACATCCAGCTGTGGGTGATGACCGAGGTGCTGCTGTGCCCAACGCTCTGCAAACGGGTTCAGCTCATCAAGAAATTCATAAAGATTGCTGCCCAGTTAGTATTGTTCCTCCCATACCACAGCAGTGTGATAAGAGATTCACTTACCGAGTATTCACATTGGCTTCTCCTACTATTAGTTCAAACTTATTACAGCATTCAACCTGTAGGGTGAGATGTTTTATATGGGAATACTGCACCCTCCAGTGGCAAATCGTTGAACTACATCTACTTTTGTGGTTACAAGTCTGAAAGTAAATGAACTGTGTGCTTGTGTGCAGCTGTAAAGCACAGAGGAACCTCAACTGTTTCTTTGCGATCATAATGGGCCTCAACACAGCAGCCGTGAGCCGCCTCAGTCAGACATGGGAGGTCAGATGTTTTCTTTACTTTTTTCTTTTTCTAAAAGGAATTAATAATTTCCATCTTTTTCCATTTTTACATGTCTAGCTGAAGTATCTGAAATCAGCTTTTATTTTCTCTGCAGAAAGTTCCTGGCAAATTCAAACGGCTATTTTCAGAGCTGGAAACAGTTACAGTAAGTTTACTGAGCATGGTATGAATTCACACTGTAACAGAGAGTATAAACCCTTGTGTCGGTGTGTACTGGCCGAACCAAACAGATGCTTTAAACTTGTAAAATCAGGGGAAACATCTGGCCACATTAGATCGTTAGTAGTCTCTAATAAAAGCATCCAGGAACACACAGTCACTCCCGCTGGATAAGACTCATTCATTTTAAAAATGTCTTCACAGGATCCCTCGCTGAATCACAAGGCCTACAGGGACTCCTTCAAGAAGATGAAGGCTCCAAAGATTCCTTTTCTTCCTCTGCTGCTGAAAGGTGTGCTCATTATTCTGTCACTTCAGCTCCCCTGCAGAAAATCTAACTCTAGGAGCAGAGTGCTGGGGAGATATTTCTATCAAGCAGATCTGACATGGAAGAACAAACCTGCTGGAGAATATTAAACAAAATGTTCTTCTCCTTTAGATATCACATTCATTCATGAAGGCAACAAGACGTTTCATGATAACCTGGTCAATTTTGAAAAGCTGGTAGGTTTGTGCATTTTTGTGGCGCCTTGAGGCGACTTTTGTTGTGATTTGGCGCTATATACAGTAAATAAAATTGAATTGAATTGAACTGAATTAGCAGGGCATGCTTCAGCACCGAATAAAAAACTGTATGTTTAAAGATGCCTGTTTCCACATTTTGCTTCCAGCACATGATAGCAGACATGGTGCGTCTCATTCGACAGTGCCAGAAAGATCACATGGGTCAGTGTTTAAATTGTTTATATTGTTATTTCTTTTCTACAAACTTCCATGCTAAAAGCAATGATGAAACATCATTTTTTAAAGCTGTCATCATCAGTTTTTGCAAGGCAAATAACAAAATCAGTGAGCAAAGTCACTTACATTCATGATCCTCTCGCACCAGCACATTGCCTTACATGATTTCATACAATGGCTTTAAGAAAGTCAACAAAATCCATTTCACCCAGCAAAGTAACACGTTTTCTATTCATCCTAGGAAATGGAATAACACAGAAGAGCAGCTCAGAGGTGCGAGCCTACATTGACTATCTTCACATCATCGACAATCAGCAGACTCTGTTTGAACTGTCACAAAGGCTGGAGCCTCGATCTTAGAAAACAACTCTAACCCTCCTTCATACTGTGCCAAGGGACAACCTTACTGCTGTCTCATCTAACTCTCAGGACAAAGGCTACAAGACCCTAACCAACCACAGGAGGGCGCTATTTGATCAGGAGATTATTTACCAGAGACAGGAGCAGGCGGCTAAAACAGATTAATAAAAACATGACATTTTAAGCACTTAAAGCAAAATCACACAGTTTAAGGCAAGTCTAGACATCATTTAACAATGAAAATTTACAAAAAGAAACGGTTGCTTTGCAGGAAAAATGCTTCCTTCTAATACAAACTTACAACAAATGCAACAAATGTGTGAGTCCTGACTCATAGATTCACTGTCCTGGTCTTTTCTCTGAGCTGTTAGCACACCACAAAGCAACAGTGAGCACAGAAGGAAGACTAGTTGATAACTGTTTCTGACTTTCTTCAGAGAGCTACTGTTTTTTGTTTTGTTTTTTGTTTTTTTACATCAACTAAAAACAGTGGTGGTCAGCTCGTTAGATTTAACCAAAGATTCTTTCAGCTAATAAAAGTCTGCACTGTTACACACACTTCTGTGCTCTCAGAGTTCGCCACAATCCAGATTTTCTTGTTGCCAGGTCAGATGTAAGACATGCTTTTCCCAAAGCAAATCAGCACAGTGTTATGCACAACAAGATTGAAACTGTTGCTACATGTTTAACAGTTTTTTATATCATTTTTATTTTTTATTTTTTGTATTTGTTTTATTTGACCACAAAGTGACGCATATATGATGAGTCTTTGCACAGTACAGATTGTATTAAGGCAGGGAACTACAGAGTAGTACAGTATACTGTATTCTGTTGGCATGTGTAATAATTGTCTATCTTTGTGCCAAATCCCATGAAAAATAGGTGTTTAAAATAACGATCATTTTCTAATCATTTTTAAATCACTAGCACAGGGAACTTTAAGTGGTTTAGCTGTGGACAATCAGTTAAATGAAGCCACAGACTCATACTGGTACTTCTCTGTACTGGGCTTTAAAGTTCATCAATATTGGTGCATTTCGCAGACATCCATACATCCGTCTGTTGAGATTTGAAGACTGACAGCAGTTGTTCACTTCTGATACACAGAGTTCAAGAATTTAGCACCAGAAAAGAATCTGATTTCTTTGAAGCCTGATTCATTTGTGGTTAGATTTAGCGATAGCAAAAATCAAATATTAAAATAGCACCTTCTGGGCAAGAATAAGAAGAGAGAAGAAGAAGACAAACTGGAAGCCATTTGCTTGTTTGCATTGTGTCGTAGCACTACTGTATGATCTTAAACATACAGTATTTGTTCTGTTTTGCTAGGTTGGGTCAGGCAAACTGAGGTAGTTATTGTGAAGTGTGTACATACAATTATGCTTTATATTCTTCACATTTTGTATATTTGGATTTTAAAACATGCTTTAGCAGTATTTTATTTTGAGTATCATTTTTTGTCATCAATAGTGTACAGCTGATTCAATTTATACAGTGTATATATGTTGAAATTCTGGATATGGATATTTATCTCATAATTATTTATTTGCTTTCAAGATACTATTTAGGATGCTTGTGTTAATTGTTTTGGTTTGTTTGTTAGATTTTTTATTGTACGCACTGTTTTTGGCGGGTCTGCATGATATGTCAAACCATGGACTGACCATTAGTGCCAACTGTGCATGTAATAAAATACGTTTCATCATCGTGAGCTCATTATTTTTAGACTAACATTTGGTGATAATTCATAACAGGTAAAGTCTGTTTCCTAACACCAGCATGCAAACATTACTCCACTTAGAACTACAGTGTTAACAAAGACCCTGGAAGTTAAAGTACTGATTACAAAAGTGAATATGTACGTGCTCTGAAATGTACATGAAACATGAAAGTGAAAAGTAGCACTCTGAAGGAAATTTTTGCGCTAAGCTACAGTAACTGATCAGTGTCTTTGTTTTCTCTCATAGGGTCACTGACTCCATTTCCCTCTGACACAAATGTTTGCTTTGCACTTGGATTTCCTGCTTATGTTTTTTGCCTCTTTCTGCAGTAAGTGCAGATCAAGATCAAGGGTCTGCTGGGGCAAAACTGGGTCTCTCCAACAAGTGTTCATCACCCTTATTAATAATCGGACACCAGCAAATTAAAAACCTGGAACTTCAACTCAGTCATGTCACAGCTGACACTAGTTCTGCTAGCCAAGTTAATTAATAACTTTATATAATACAGTCTTCGACAAAAAGGTGTAATTACCCTGTAATTAAATGTATTTTATTTGAAATTACAAAGTAATTGTATTTACCTACAAATACTTAGAGGCAGGCACACTAGAATAAGAGTGTAACAGTGATGGGCCATTTCGTAACCTTATAGGATGGAATAATGGAGCCTTTGTTACTTCTTTGTTTGGTATACATGATGTTAATGACATATTGAATGTTCTGTTATTCAACTGTCCTTTTTATTTTACCAGTATAGTTTTGATAAGGACTGTTCTCCCTTATCAACTTACAAGAAAAAAAAATACTATAAGAATTGCCTATGTGATCTTATAATAATGGAGCAAAGTCTAACTTAATTTTTCTTTTATTCTAGTGTACCTACCTTTAAATATTTGTAGGCAAATACATTTACATTGTAATTCCAAATACAGCACACAGATGTTCTATTTAACTAGTTGTGGATTGTATTATAAAGTGTTACCTTAATATTAAATCTCAAAGTCAACAAATAATTTAACGCATATGGAAGTTACATTTTTCAGGTGTCTCTCCCCCTCACTGGCTGAAGGCCCCAAGCAGTTGGCTGGTGGCAGGAAGCACCTCTGCCAATGATGGATCATAAGACCAATAAGATTGTCATTTAAGTGTTACTGTTCGCTCCATTTGGGTTGAAAGTGGTTTAATGTTGGAAAGGTGCGCTGTGATGCGAAATAATCAATAACTCCCTCAAATGCATTAAAGGTAAAGTAACAAGTCTTTGAATTTTTCAGGAGTAAAAAGTAGAGGTGCTTGTGCTAAAAGTAAAAAGTTGTCAGTAAAATAAATGGTCCGGTCAGGTGCAGATACCTGAAAAGTCTGCTTAGGTACCTTAATGCCATACTTTGGCCCACAATGCTGTGATTAACCAAAGACAAAACGTACAGCAGGACGAACTGTTACAGACTTTGGCATGATATCAGGTTGAAGTGAAACGTTATTACACTTGACATGTTCAAGCACTTTGTCAAACATACAAAATTAAGGATTTCAGATTTCATAGAGCACATATAAGTCACTATACTATGTTCTTATTACCTTTAACACATTATGAAAAGGTGCTTGTAGTAAACTTTTCCCAAAGTTCTCACAACCAATGGTTTTTAACAAAGAATTAAGGATCAGAGCTGAATCATACGTCGAGAGTCAGTGAAACATGCATGTAATATAGAAAAAGGACAAATAAAATTTCTCATTTTTATGTGTTTATTACCTAATGTGACAACAAAGTATGGGATTGTTTCATAAGGGACAAGAAAGTGACGTGTAAGTCCTGGAGGCAAACGTTGAACCATTCAAAGCTTAAAATGTGGCTTTAAGCTTTTGTAATTTTCTGCTCTGTAGCAGACTAAACAGTACAAAGTATAACATTTTTATCTCAGCTTTGCAACCCCATGCCATTATGTAAAAATGAATATAACAAAAAGATAGTGACAATTTGTCAAAGTAAATATTTGGTCATAGGCAGCTTTTTATTTTAAGGCTCCACAGAGCAGCGACATCATTTGACATCATAAACTATAACATTTTTAAAGCTGTTCATAATACTGCGAGGAAACTAGACTTGATTTCATATTTTCCTTTAGTTTTTCAAGACAAAAAAAAAATACCAAACACAATGTCTTCTTTTGGTGCTGTAAGGCAGAGTGGTGACCCAGATGCCCTTTCTGACTTTAACCAGGTGTCCTGCTTGGCCTTTAACATGCCTTATCTGAGGCACGACCCCTGCTGAGCCCGGCCCCGTACCCTGCCATTTCCTCCCAAACATTACGAGCACTGTATCATTTCCCTGTCGCCAAATGACTGGCTAGTTGCTGTGCTGTGCTAATGGGAGGAAGAGAAGGCAGATGAAAAGAAACTACAGGAAGAACGGTTCTTCATTTCCCCCCCTCGTGCAATACAATACACAGAATCAATCCTCCAGCCTCCATTTGTCTGTCTACAGCCACTTTGGCTGCAGGGAGAAATTAGGAGCAGCACAGCCGTTATTAGTGTTGAAGAAAATCTTATTTGAGTAGATAAGAGTTTGACGCCCCCCACCCCTTCAGAAAGAAACAACACCGCGATTTAGTTGCAGTAAATTAAGCGTCATAATGTTATTTTATTTTTAGCAGATAATATGGCACCTGTCTTATATTTTTGAATCTCCTTTAACACATTGTTTTTTTCTCAGTGTAGTACATGGCCTTAACCTTGACTCTACCTCATATCCCTGACATACATTAGACTTTAAATCATGTGAATCACTGCATATAAATAGTAACACCTCAGACATGTATCCATAACTACAAACTTTAGTCTGAACGTCCTCTCGGTTTGCAATTAATCCTGATTAAATCCATTTAAAACAATAACCTTCTACTTAAAATGACTTTCTTTATCTTTGTTTGTCACATAGTAGGTTCATCAGATGTTAACAGAGAGTGGAGGCAGATAAAGGATGGGTAATCTAATGTGTTGCTTTCTCATACAAAGCTATCAGTGTCTTTCAATGGGTTTTTCCAACGAGTTTGGCTGAATGAATTACACTAGTCTGTTAGTATTCTGCCTCTGCCGTACAAAAGGTCAATGTCAAATGCACCTCATTTAAAAGTCAATAGCAACCATGCACATCATCTCCTGGGAATTCTGTCCAGGATCCCCTCCAGACAGCATTGTGTATCATTCAGTTAGTAGAGGGCAGCCAGAGAGCTTTTTTAATCTTGACCTTCCAATAAAATATGCTCCCCATCCAGAATTACATGGTCTAAAATGGAGACATAAGCTCCCAACAAATCACACCCAGGCTCAAGGGAGATGTTCAACAGTGTAGGACATGAACACAACAGGTTTAACATCGGCTATCTGCTTTTACTTGTTTACTTTACTTTATCTACAACATGCAGGATATACACACTCAAATACTGACAACACAAATACAAGATTAGAAATGTGTTAAAGTAACTAAACATGGTAAAACTATGACACATAATCCAATACTGTTTAAAAACATACTGTTGTTACACTGCAGTAATACTTGAATACTGAATTTCACACAGACAGCAACAAAGCCACTCCAGCTACAATCCACTTGGTAGCTGGCTGTTTGGTTCGGAGGCGGAGGGTCCACACATAAGTGTGTCCACGCTGCTTGGTGCGGTACACTGGACACTCAAAAGTGTTACTGATGTCCCGCTCCTCTGCGGGCACAGCTCTAACATACAGCACAGGCATGGCCGGCGTCAGTTCTCTCAAAACCGCCTCAGAGATGACTCCAGCCTGAGTGTCCCAACGTGCTCCTAACACAAAGACACATGTTGCACTGTGGGTTTGACCAATTATACTTACAAGACAATTTTACCAAGACACAGGAAGCAAAATACTGTGAAAAATCTATATAATTCGAGTATAGCAGGATCTACTGCTGGGTTAATTATTCTGACCTTCCATGAAGAGTCCATGGATGTAGGCTCCTTCCCGTGGAGGATGCCCAAAGTCGTCCTTCATTTTCTTTGTTACATCCACGCTCAGGGTCATCTTGTCCAGGGGCCACTTGTTTTTGCGAGCAATACTCTGCAGCACAGCTGTAAAATATGACTATGTTAATATTTCTGGTTCTACCGGTGCACATATGGCAATATTAATCGTTGTCTTCGTTTAGTCCTCACCGGTAAGAAAGGACTGAGGGTTAAAGAGCCCCGAAAGCCAAACAACTGCAGGTAGGACAAAATCTTGAGTCCAGCTGTCGAGTTCGTGGCAGCTACACATTAGATCATTCAACCTAAAGAATAAATAATTGTTAATAAAAAACTAGGAAGATCATTAATAGAAGCTTTTAGAGTGTGCCTATAAGGGAATATTTAAGAAGTAAGAAAAATTAGCATATAATAGGTTGACTCATAAGTTACCACTGTGCCAGTGTTTTAGTGGAGGAATAAGCCAGTCTGGCCCAGGAGTCTGGGACCTGCTCCATGAACAGTGCAGACTGCAGATTCTCCATCCTGGAGGAGAAAGTGAGTTCGCCCTGTGGACAGAGAAATGCTTTTTAATGCTACAATAATAACAGTAAAGCACCTTGCTGGCAGTCACTGTGTTTATGGTACCTTCAGACCAAGATCCAGCTCATGAAGGGACTTCTTTATCTCAACTAACAGAAGATTCATGCGCTCACACTCCTGAAAGCAAACTAAGGTGTACGGGTTTCGCTCTGTTGTCTTTGCCATAATCTCTGCCATGTTATACTCCTCAGGAAGCTTGTCAAGGATGTCTTCAATTATTGACGTGACCTAAGAAATACAATAAACTGGGATAGTGATATAGACAGGTCCCTGCACCCTCAGCAGTTTTTTCCCTCCCCCATAATGATTCTTTCTGCATGCAGACCTTCTCCTCTGTGCTCTGAGCTGCTCCCTCTCCTCTGGAAGAGTTCTGTGGCTGCAGTTCCAACAGAGCCTTTAAGAGGTTGTCTGAGGTGACAGTGAGGCACTCAAGCTCAGCATTTGGATGGAGACCGTACAAAGTGGGATTCTCGGAGGGGAGATGTTCGTCAATATAGTGGTGGTAACCAGTGTAGTCCAAGAACGGAGGAGACAGGAACCCCGGACACAGAGAGAGATCCATTTCAAACTAGGAATTGAAAATTCATAACACAAAGACCAAAAAAATTAAAATTAAAAAAAGCAAAGCATGTATTTTATATTTTAATATCATGGACAATATACAAGTGCAAGTCTTTTCTTGCAGGCACAACAAAACATTCTTCAAAATGCAGATTCAGGAAAAAGTACTGGAAGAGAAATCTTCAAAAGAAAAAATATATGAAATAAACCCTTAATAGTATCTGCCAAAAAAGCACAATGTCTAAAGAAACAGAAAACCTAGACTGGTATTACATGCAAAACTGCAGTTTAGTATTTCACCCCCAGGGGGCACCCTTTACCTTGACAACAACTCAAAACAGCTACACAGCTATGGATTAGCCTGTCATCATAAAATTGAACACAACTCCAGATAAAAGTTTGTACCTAAATAATGAGCAGACGTT